AGCAACGAGATACCAAGACGCGAGAAAGATCCTCCGGGCGAGGACCACCGTGATTATAGACAGAGTGGACAATTTTCAACAAGGAGAAACCATTATTGAAGAGAGAGAGAGAGAGAGAGAACTCTGAATCTCTCTCTCTCTCTCTCTCTCTCTCTCTCTTGTCTTTTATTATTAAAATTATTCTCACGAATGATCCTATCGAATTATTTGCAAAACATATCGCCCAAAACATACGCTAACGTATTTTATTGCTTATCCGAGTAAAATGCGGCGAAATTAATTATTTCGAACGAGCGAAATTCTGAGTGTACCAATTTCACATAACAACGCGTCCCACGTGTTTCGCAAATATGACGTTTAAATTAATAGATTATTAATATTAATTAATAATTAGCAATATGCGGCAATATATTACTCGGCGAGAGACCTGTCTGAAAATATTCCCGCTTTTAACCGGTCGCGAAAATATAATATTCTTATGAAAGCCCGCAAGTGTCCACGCGCGATTCGCGAACTGTGGTCGACCCGGAGTCAAATTGATTATAATTCTAAAGTCTGTTTGCACGTTTCTCTCTCTCTCTTTCTCTCTCTCTCTCTCTCTCTCTCTCTCTCTCTCTCTCTCTTTTAGCGGACTTGGACGATCCCCGAGAGCAATAGCGCGGATATAGAATAAGTTCTCTCAAATTGCGGCTGAAAGTCGAGCAGTGACTATCGACCGGTGCGTCGCAAGAGCGCGAGTTCTATGACTTTCCCCCGCATCTAAATTTATCGCATCGACGTTAGAGAGAAGGCGATCTGCGCACGATGATGACGGCGAGGCTGCGCGTAATAAGTTATCGTAGATTGGGGTTACTTTGATCCGCGACGCGCGATCGCTCCTGATGAGATTTATCGGCAATTTTGTGTACTGCTGCTGTCGGCTGCTGTTGCTCGAGAGCGACAACGCGCGTTGCGCTGCGAGCGGTCCTTCGTTGTAAATTGACGCGAGCTCGAGGCGAATTACGAATATAATTACAGGCGTCGTAAATTGAAGGACTTTATTCCGAGCTGCGTCGAATTTCATCGATATTTCGCGAGACGAAGCGCGTGCGACAATTTGCGGATAAACACGCTCGATTTCAAATGGTCGTCGCGCCGAGAAAAATATCATTCTGCCGCTGAGAAAAGCGAATACTCAGTTTACTCTTTCTCTTTCTCTCTCTCTCTCTCTCTCTCTCTCTCTCTCTCTCTCTCTCTCTTATTCAAGTAACGGTTATTCTCAACAAACATCTTCTTGATGATAGTCTTAAAATACACTCGTCGCAAGTTTTAGAGAAGCTCGTTATCGTCGATTCGAATGAAAAATTTGTCCTCTCTTTTCGACAACATCATAACTTGTACTCTATATAGGAAACAAGCCGAATTTATGTTCTAATTCAATATTTTTGATTAAAGTATTAAATTTACTAAGCTTCAGAGTGTATTTCGAATAAATTTGCTGCTTGAGACAGCTCATGATAAATTTGCAAATGTATAAACTCATGAAACACTTGAAACAAGCAACATTCACCTTTAATACACCCGAATACAAAAATTAATAGGGCTCTGGTTAGGGCCTGATTATTTTTCCCTAATATTAATCGGGCCCTAGTAGGGATAGAGAGACAAGGACCCTACGAGATGTGTAACAAATGATTTAACGGGTTCTTATAAGATAATATTATAAGGGCTTTATAAGGCAGTATCAACAGGATCTTATAAGGCAATATTAACAGGACCTAGAAATGTGCGAATCAAGAATTTTTATGTCGAATCGAATCGAATCTCATTTTTTAAATTCGAATTCGAATCGAATCGCATCTATGAAATTTCATTCGAATTCGAATCGAATCGAATGAAATCGAATCGAATCATTAAAAAATTCATCATGATTATTAAACATGCAAATAATGATGGAAGATTTTAATATGAAAGGGAATATTGATATTGTAATATCATCTGAAAGTAAAATATATATTTAAATAACTAAAGTAATATATAATTAAGTTATTAATTATAAGTTAAATTAATTACAAGTTAAAGGTGCATATAGGCCCAGATGGGCCGTTTTGTAACTGATGCGCGTAAACGTGCGAAATGTACGAGGGTAGTGTCAAAAGTACCTGACCTGACATATAGATAGCGGTTGTGGTTTGAAAAGAATGACTATGGTAGAAAGTACCAAGCTTATAAAGCTTAAGTTTAAAGTTTGACGACGCTACGTTGTTTAGTATTTGTTTGGCAGCCGTCAATAGTGAACGCTCTCGGTGAATTCGTAAACATGGAAAAAATTGGTCATGGTTATGTGATACAATACTTTCATTTAAAGGCCTCAGTCCAACCAATATCAAAGCGGAGCTAGATTCTACTCGGGGCGAGCCTGCTCCTTCGTTTACAACAGTAAAATATTGGGTGGCAGAGTTTAAACGAGGCCGACGTACGAGCTGCCAAGACGAACATCGCAGTAGTCGACCGAATGAGGTGACCACGCCAGAAATGGTGAAGAAAATCCACAAAATGTTATTGGATGACCGTCGACTGAAAGTGCGCGAGTTAGCAGACATGGTAGGCATTTCAAAAAGTGCCGTACATCGCATATTAACTGAAAATTTGGACATGAGAAAGCTGTGCGCAAGATGGGTGCAGCGATTGGAGCAAAAACAGCGTCGTGTGGATGTTTCAATCGAGTGTTTGGCGAAGTTTCGCAGCAATAAAACCGAGTTTTTGCGTCGATTCATAACCATGGATGAAACATGGGTCCATCACTTCACACCTGAGACGAAGGAATTTTGAGGAGCCCGACGATTCCCACTATAAACAGGGTATCGAAGCTATTGAACATCGCTGGGAAAAGTGTATTGAGCTAAAAGGAGACTATGTAGAGAAATAAAGATATTTTTTCCCAAATTTTTTGTGTTTTCTTTGGTAGGTCAGGTACTTCTGGAACTATCCTCGTATTTGATTCCTATTCGAATTATTCGGATTCGGATTCGAATAGTTCGCACATCTCTAGGGCCTTATAAAGAAATATTTTTATTATTGTTTGAGTAAAAATATTCGTTCTTTTCATTCCAAGAAATTTAGAGTGCAATTTCTTTATTTCTTTATAACCTTGTTAGTATAGATGTTAGTACAGTATGCAAGAATTTTTTATTTTAAAAACAGCATACTTTACGATAAAATGTAATATTCTTTACAGATAAAAATTTTGCTATTGTTTTTATTAAAGTTTCCTGTATTTCAAAACGAAGGCGATATTAGAGAAATCCTTGGAAGAGACTAATAAATATGGCAACGAATAAAATTAATAAAATTTGTTTTTAATTGAAAGCAGTATAATTAAAAAATCTTTAAAAGAATCAGATGGAGCGTACCTACTGAAACAATACTAAACTATGACAATTTTATTACACGCTTCAGATGTTATTAATTTTCTAGAATAAAACTTGATTTTATATATCTAAAGCGTCCTCTCTTAAAAGATCCTTCTAAGGCCCTTCTCAGCTTTCCCTATCAAAGCCTTCTGTAAAATCTAAGCATCCCCTGAAAGACCCATCTCGAGGCCTGATGTGATAATAATGAGGCATCCCTTTTTAGGGCATCTTACTTTCAACCTTATCGGGGCCTTACGAGGATGGCCCTAATCATTTTTTGCTCGGGCAGCACGTATTTTTCGCGCGCTTGCGCACGACACCAATTTAATTTTATCCGTGCACTTGAATTAATTCGCAATTCGCAAAAGAATGCAGGGGGAGAACCCATGTATTTATAAAGCAATTTCTGCTAACATCGCCGAAAGAAAGAAAGGTTAAATGTTGGATTTCCCGCAGGAGGTGGGCGTGTACAGCAATTCGATATATTCATCATTGTTGTTACTGCCGCTCCCTCGGCTGCTTCTCCTCCCTCCGAGAAATACAAACGGCCGTGGATTGCGTAAGATTTGAATATCGCGGCGGTATGTCGCGTTATCGTCCGTGCACGCGCGGTTTCGCCCGATAATAAAAACGACACACTCTCCGATATTCTAAGCGCGAGCGCGGAACGTACGCTCGCGGATAGTTTTATCCAGGAAGCCTTCCAACGGAGGAAGGAAGAAGGGAAAAAGGAAACGGGACCGTTCGCGCGCGATCGCGCTGCGAGGACGCTCGAGAGAGAGAGAGAGAGAGAGAAATGAAAAGCCGCTCTAACGCGTTATCAGGATTTTCCATTACGCTTCTCTAAAAAGCGCCGTAAGTAAAGTCTTATCGCAACCCTTCCGCGCGCGCGAACGCGACCTCCCCCCGCGAGATCTTTCGCGCGGCGTGCGAGAGTCTTTAGCCGAATGCGGCTAAACAACGGGAAGTAGACGCAATGTGACGTCCGCAGAATTCAATTTGGACAGGTAGACTATCGCCCGGATTATCTCAGCATCGTTTGCTCGTTCGAGTTTTAAAGCGGGGAGACACTTTCCAGCGGAATAACGTCGCGCCATTTGGACGCGCCTGGCTCTGAGGACGATATCGTACCGCGAGATGAAAACCCAACGATCTCGCGAATACGCCCGATCGTGCTTTATTGTGTGTCGCCGTTCTTTCAAGCGCTCCTGCCTTGAACGGTTTGAACCGCTCTCGGTGCTCGGAGCTTTTATTACGTTTCGCAGTTGTTTGCGTCGGTTTTAATAACCGACGTGCATTAAGTCCGTTAAAACATGTATCGCCAGCGAGCTGTTGTCCGAGCTTTTGCCGCAGTGAAACGGCAATGTTTGCGGTTTATGCAGCTTTGTTGCCCCGGCGAATGTTGCCGCGTGGAATTTTTTCCACACAAATCGCGCGCGCAGAAACTCGAATGCCGCGGTGTATTGCGTTGAGTATAGTGCTCTCGAATTGTGTCTCAAATCAATGAAAATTGCAAAATTTACCCGTGTATCGAGTAAACGATAGCCCGGCAAGCAAATCGTCCGTTGAAGCGGAACGCAGCCAAAGCTGCTGACCTGCGGGACTCACCTCGTAGAAGTAGAACGAGTCGATCTCCTCGGTCGCGTTAGTGTCCAGCAGCGTGACGTTGATGTAATCTGGCAAGGGGTAGAGCTCGTCGGTGAGGTTCCTCGTGCCGGCATCGCGCTCCGAGTCGACGAGGAGGAACGTGCGGTTGCGATCGTCGCTCGTCCGCGACTGGTCCGCGTCGATGCCGAACATGTTCGTTCCGAGCGACATCCGCGATAGCAATTAGCCGCTCAGCTTCTCGCTCCGCGAGCTCCCCACGGGAGACTCATGACCCCCACAACGACGAGCGCCGACTTCATGTCCGTGGGGGCGCGAGAATCCTCTTCTTCCGGGACTACTTCCGGGAACGGCTTCGATTTCGGCTGGACTTGGCTCGATTCGGCTTTTCCCTCTTCTTCTTCTTCTCTCAACGTTTCATCCCGACGACGACGAAGCAACGTGTGAGAAGCCCCGGCTTCTTCGGCAACGATGAAAGCTGCTTTTCGCTCGTCCGTCACTCGCTCGGCGCACTAGGAGCAACCGGAGAACGCAGGCCGTACGTGTCCGGAAGCAGAGAGAGGAATATACGCGCGCAGCCGCGCGGGTTCCGCCATTGCGACCTCACGGGAAATTCAGGGCATTACTTCTCACTTGTTTACAGTTACGTTCACTGCACGTTCGCGCTTCACAGTGCGGAAAATGGGCGACCCTCGCGCGCACGACAGACACGTCAAGTTTCGTTTCACCGGGAGAGATTATAGTAAGGTCAACGAGAAGAGCTGGGGAACCTGGCGATTCCGCGATCCAGCGATTTCCGGCTACAGCGCGAATGACATATCCTCCCCTTCGTCCGAGGAATAATCGTTACGGGCATCTAAGCTGAAACTTGAGCACAACGTGAAGATTAACACGTTCGCGACAATCAATAAATCCATTGGTTCACTCTAAAGGACGCACAATTTATTTTTTAATATATTGCTTCTTTGCGTTTGTTTTATAACAAAAGGCTTTGCTTTTATCTTATTCAATGAATTTTTAGCCATTTTACTGATTTTTGAAGGCGCACCACCGGTGGGTCATTTTCCCTTATAGCCGCGTGACCCATCGGTGGGCAATAACACCGTACAATTACATTTTTTGCAGGTAATTGAGATTTAATGCCCTGAAAATGAATTCCAGAACACAGGAAATATTGGCATTGGTCGCATCCCAAAGAATAGCGTCACCAGAGGAACCGGTTGCATCCACTTCCACTCTGCAAGATCGATCAACATCACCTCAGGAATCACCAATTGCTCAACAATCACCACTAATTGAGACACCATCACCCATGAAGGACACACCATCTAATCAGCAACCACCATCAATTCACACTTTATCATCCTCGCAGAAATCACCATCTTTTAAGCAGTCAGCAGTCATATCAGCCCAACAGTCGCCACCATCCCGAAGAAAACAAAGGAAGATATACTTTTCTAGTTCAGAATCTGAACCATTTGAAGATTCTGAAGATTCCTATAAGCCAAGTGAATCTGAAAGTGACACATCTTCTACAGAAGATGGAGACGAACCTTCGTTGAAGGAAGATGGCACCTGCGGAACAGTAAATATTGACAAGTGGGGACCTTGCACCGATTCAATTTTCAGTTTTCTGGACAAGGTGGGCTGCAAATAACGTGAATTTATCTGAACCCGTTGATATCTACAAACAATTTTTAACTGATGATATTTTAGATGTCATAGTACTTGAAACTAACAGGTATGCATCTCAGCTCATTCAGGCAAAACCACTTCGCCCCCGCTCTTTAATGCACAACTGGGTAGGCACAAACAGAAAAGAAATAAAACAATTTCTGGCTATTCTACTGATCATGGGCATCAATAACCTACCAAAAACGCGTCTCTATTGGTCTTCTAGTGAGATGTACAGTAATGACCGTATAAAAAAAGTAATGACCCCTAACAGACTTGACATGTTATTGAGATGCTTGCATTTTTCTGATAACAACGATCCTGAAGCCAATAATGATAGACTCTCAAAAATAAAACACACCTTGGAACTATTATGTCACCAATTTCAAGAAACACTTGTTTCAGAAGTGTACAAAGAAATTGTAATTGATGAGACGATGGTACCTTGGAGGGGCAGACTAGTCTTTAGACAATATCTTCCTGCTAAGTCACATAAGTATGGTGTAAAGATTTATAAGATATGCACATCTGAAGTATATACATATGACCTGAGAGTCTATGCAGGAAGAAACGATCCTACTGGAACTGCAGGAACAAATTCAACTGGGCATACATATAATATATGCATGGAATTACTAAGAGGACTCACACACACTGTGGTAGGACACTCTATTGATAATTTTTACACAAGTGTTAAACTATGTAAAGATCTGAAATGAACTCTGAAACGTATGTTTGTGAGACTTTGCGAAGTAATAGGAAGGGAAGTCCTAAAGATGTGTGCAAAAAGAAATTGAAGAAAGGAGAAGTATATGGTAAACAAAATGAAGAAGGAATTAGAGTGATGAAACGGCTAGATAAACGCTCAGTGCTAATGATTAGCTCTGTTCCAGACCATACTGATCTACTAGTGCCAAGTGGGACAAAAAGTCGCAAGGGAGAAGACGTAGTAAAACCTCCTGCCATTATTGCATATAACAAAGCTAAGAAAGGAATTGACGTGTCTGATCAAATGTTTTCATACCACACAAGTCTGAGAAAAAGCCTCACATGGTATAAAAAGGTTATTTTTGAAGTGATGCTAGGGACATGTATTGTCAAAGTATGGGTAATTTACAACAGCTTCGGTAACAACAGAAATAGGATGGATATGCTCAAATTTCGAGAAAATGTAATAAATGAGTTGTTGAAGGTAGAAAATGAGAATACAGATGTGGTCAATGAAGCTAGAGAAAATGGAGCTGCCGATGAAAACGTGGAATGGACAAGGAAGAGAAAACGCAGCAGGAGCAGTCATAGCATAGGAAAGTATGAAGGTTCAGCAAGAAGCAGTAGGAAGAAATGCACTGAGTGTTATAGAAGAATTCAGAAAGAACGAGGTAGCAAAGAAGCCAGGGTCGGGCATCAAAAGTTGTTACATTTTGTGAAGACTGTGAAGGAGAGCCTACAATGCGCATTGCTTGTTTTAAAAAATTTCATGAATAGTTCTGCTATGCTTGGTTACAAAATTTTGTATTAATCTTGTATTTTGATAATAATTTGTATCATTTGTACTTTTCTATATATCTATCTTTGTTTGAGCAAGTTGACAGTGTCCGTGTTCAGCTTCCCTTGAATAAACATGTTATTTTGCTATAATTGTCTGATCGACAAACCATGTTGCTAATACATAGATACATTTCTCATGTAGCCGTAGTTATGATATATAGAGCCCCCGATACACACAAAGACTTTCAGAAGCAGTGCAGTGCTTCGTAGTGTGTGACCCACCGGTGGACACGCACGTCTATTAATATAACCAGTGTGACCCACCAATGACCAGGGTTACGATGTCGCGAACGTGTTAAAGACTCTCGCGCGTGAATGCGGCGAACAAATGAAGCGGAATCCGTCGCAACGGCTGCGATAAATCGCGGCGTAAGGTCCAAATGCGCGTTCTTACTTCAGCCGCTCACGATAACGTTTGAAAGTCAGCGCGATCTCGAGACGCAGGAGCCGTTCTGTCTGAGTATAGCGAGGTCTTAATTACGGGCTGGCGCGAAAACCGGCGGCGGCGTCGAACGGCCAAGACGAATTCTAATTGCGCCGATCGTATCGCCAAGCTCGGCGGCCAAGAAAAATAGAAAAATAGAGGACTCGCGCGCCCCGTTGTCCTCCGGGATTTCCTCCGCTTTCGTCGTTTTCCGCCACTCCGCGAAGAGCAGCAGCCGCCAGCGGGACGAGAATTATGGCTCCGGCTTTTCACTTTTCGTTCCGGCTCGCCGACCACCGCTTCGCAGCACGGAGGAGCCGCACGGCGTCGCTCAGCCACCGTCGCGAGATTACCGCGAGTTCACGAGCGAGCAAACGTTGGCCTGTTTCGGCGTCCGGAAGATCTCTTGAGTCGACCGGATGATACATCTCGATCGCGTCGGCATGAGGTGTCTCGCGTATTAGTAGCAACTTTTTGCTACAACAAAGATTGTCGGCTGACAATCGGGTAAGCAGACGAGCTTTGTGCCGTTGGCGGTCCGTTAAGTGCTGTTTTGCGTCGTCCGGCATCGCTTTGACAGTTGAAACGTAAGAAAAGGATCGATTTTTTGCCTGTTTTTCGGTCCTCGATTTTGAAATCAGATTTTATGCCAAAAGATAATTCATGATGAGACATTAATTACAGAAAAGTTTTACATTGAGCATACGATCGGTTTCAAAGTTGTAGAAGGTCAAAGTGGTCACTACCTACCTACCTACTAAGAAAGGATGACACTAATAACGCTTTATCGCACGAATTTTTGCAAAATTCGGCATCTATGGGTTCTTTGAGTTGCTGATTATGAATTTGATGTCAGATTTCAAAAATTCAAGATGGCAGGTGCAACATGGCGGACACACATAGTGAAACAATCATTTACTTTTATTGGAATTGTTATGTTGTGGTTTTTTCGGCTAGCTGATTGCGAATTTTCGAAGTTAGATTTTCGAAAGTAATTTTTTCAACGACAATTTTTGAGTGGAGAAAGCATTTTTTTCATTGTTTTTTCATAGAAAAAATATCAAATTCAAACTGATACGTTACATGACGCATAAAGGATAACGTGACAGTTTTATTTGTTATATTTAGAAGCTTTTTCATTGCAGTTTCCGTGAGTCTTTATAATTACATATCGTTATATCCAATAATATAAAAGTTATCTAAAAACTTAGTTCTGAAGTTATCGGCTTTAAAGTATACCACATAAAGTATACAACATAACAGTTCTAATAAAAGCAAATAATTGTTTCACTATTTGTGTCCGCTATATTACATCCGCCATCTTGAAATTTTTAAATCTGACATCGAAATCGTAAGCAATTCAAAGAATCCATAGATGCTGAATTTCGCAAAAATTCGTGCGATAAAACGTTACTAATGTCAAACTTCCTTAGCAGGTAGTGACCACTTTGACCCTCTATATTTCTGAAACCAATCGTATGCTCAATGTAAAACTTTTTGCAGAATTTTTTTGCGATTAACCTTCTAAGTCCGTGAGATGACTATAGTCATCGCTACTCCTCAGAAAGCCGTGCGATGCTTTAAGGCATCGCGAAGTTATTGTGATTGAGCAGCCGTGTGGAAACGATCCAGGGACTTCCGTTGCGTAGTTCTTTAGTTATATTTTTTTTACTTGACTGTGCACATAAAATTTAAATGCCCTCGTTATAATTCCGTCCGGGTGTATTTACAGTCGGGTATTTAAATGAGTATTTAAAAGATTAATATCTTATCATGAACTATCATTTTGCATAAAATTGAATTTAAAAATCGGGGACTTTTTGCGGACTCTTTGTCTTGCTTGTCAGCCCTGAAATTTCGTTATCGCGCGAGCGAGTTACGAGCGAGTCGATCCGACTCTGTCCGACCGGAGTCGAGCGGACGACTCCGGTTCCGCTCGACGACGACGCGACCCACGGCCACGATGTTACCCCGTTTTCGGCAAGCGAGAAACAGCCGCTGCGTCGCGAGAAAGTGTCAAACTTGAAATTAGTCAGCGGCAAAAGAAATTCGATTAAAGTTTACGTCGCGGAAATTCGCGGGCGATCGTGCGGACGCAACTCCGTTCCCTCGCGCGAAACGCTGAATTTTCCCGCCGTTTTTTTCCCCCGAGGTTCTCGCGGGCGGGCAGGGGGGAAGGGAGATTGGGCTCCTCGGTGAAATTAATCGGACGAGTCGAAATCACGGGATCTGAACGCGGGCGAGCCTTGGCGCTCGGCCTGAAAGATCGGACGGCAATGTTTCCGGAGGGGTCGCCGACGACACCTGCTGAAAGTCGATATGTCGTCCGTTTGATTAAGTGGCCGAGTTTGTCCGACAAGCTGTTCCGTTTCGGCTACGAGAAAACTGTCGGACGGCACGGCGCGTGGTTGGCCGCGCCTAATTAATCACGAGGCCGCGCGCGACGTCTCTGTTTTACGTCCCGCGAGTGGGCCGCCCCGAAGGAGATTCGTTTATTTCCGTTTGCCGTTTGTTTCGATTATCCTCTAGCATCAAGCTACACGGCTCCGCCGAAAGTGCGATAGCCGCTCCCGGCCGTCGTATTTCCGACAAGAATTAATACGCGCGTCCGCATTGTTCCGGAAATAGTTTCAAGTGGAATCATGAAACGTCAAACACCGCGCTTCAATGTACGCCGCGCGCAGCTGTATTCTGCCTTGTTTTTTTTGTTTTCAACGAACGTTTTCGCACGAAATAGCTCACACAGTATCACCTCACGCGTTTCACGACCAAATATATTGCGTTTTACATGGGTTATCGCAACAACGGGCGGCCGCGTGTCTGTGCGTGTATGTTATCAGCGGCTTGTTCAAGGTTCAGGAGTAACTAGTCTTGCAACAAATTGTAAATCAATCGTGATAATTTATTGCGCTGTCATTGCGCGCATCAACACACAATGGCCGTCACACGCCACACGCAGGGTTCTGCGGATTTTCAAGATGTAATATCGAGAATCGTCGCTCTCGCCGGCCGAGCTTTTCCGAATGAAGGAGGAGTCATTTGCCCGTGACGCGGCTCACTACTTTAATTAATCTTCTCGGGGGCTGAAAATAATTTCTCGACCGGCCTCCCCATCGACTTCCTTTCTCTCTCTCTCTCTCTCTCTCTCTCTCTCTCCCTCCCCCCTCCCTTCCTCCCTTCCGCTCGCTCTTTCTTTCCATCACGTCGGTCTTTAACCGGAGGAGTCGCGCGCTTCTGAATGCGTGTGCGTGTGCGTGTGCGTGCGCGCACGCCCCACGGAAATAGAAGTTATTATTATTCCTTGGCACGAATATCTGCCGCTAATATGACTTTTATGCGCCTTAATAATTTGTGAGGACGCGTGGTACGATCGGAAGAACGCTCGCCGGTATATAGCCGAGATGCAGAAAGAGAGAAAAGGAGAGAATGAGCGAGTGAGTCAGAGCGAGCGAGAGAGAGAGAGAGAGAGAGAGAGAGGGAGGGAGGAAGGAGGAAGACGACAAGACGACGAGAAGCTTTTGTCGGCTCTCAAGTGAATCGAAACGGAAAACGCGTGTCGGAATGGGAATTCGTGAACCGACGGCACATATTCTGCCAGAACGAGCCAGCCGAAGAATAAATCTGCACACGCGCGTACGCTGGAAATTGCTGCCGAAGTCGCACATCGTCACCGAGCGCCCACGGTTGCAGCTAAATGCAACCAGCCCTTCCCCCCACCCCCCTCCTCCTCCTCCTCTCTCCGCGTCCATTGTTACGCTCCCCGCTCATAACTCGTGCGTAACGCTCATGCGATAACAGTAAACTCAAGCGAGCCGGTCACCGGATAGAAGCGGAACGCGGTTCACTCGAGAAAGGTGCGCGACGTCTCTCCACCGATATTCCCCGATTCCGTTGCCGGTGAGACGAGTTCGCTTCGAACAAACCGTCGCGTTTTCGCCGTTACGCGCGAACAATCCCGGGGATGGATTCTCGGGTATTTACAGTGGCGGTGGCGGTGGCGGCGGCAGTGGCGGCGAAGTCTTGGCTCCCTCGTATCGGAGATCGCGGTGGCTCCGCTTCCCACATTCTCTTCTCTTCCACGTGCGTGCTGAGAAGTGACATTAGCATGCAATCGTCCGGCGATTAGGTTATGATCGTTACGTTCGACGAGACACGTCAAGCCAATTTTGTCAAGGCATTTTGTCAAAGATTACTCCGTCCACCCACGTTTAATGTCAGCCCCGCGTAGGCGATAATAGCGAGATGACACGCCGACTTTTGGCACGCCGTGTCCGGCGCGGCGCTTCGACGCGAGAGCACCGTGGACGATGTTGCGTCACTGCGAGAGAAAAAAACGAGAGAAAGAGAGAAAAGTGACAAACAAAATTCCTTACGACGCGTCTTGCCCCGTGAAATTGCCCATTTCCAACAATCGCCGGCGTTTCAGATTCCTCACGCCTCATATCGGACATCTTCCGCGTCAACTTAATCTTCCGCGGAATTTCCCCCACCGTCGCCGTCTTTTGCATGAAAAATCTACGCGCGAATAATTGCATTCTAGGCTGCAATCAGCAGCTACGCGCGACTCTCGGCGCGCCGTCGTTACGTAAATCCCCGTACGCTGTCTCTCCTGGAAAAAATCACGAGCTCGTTGTTTGAAAGAAAAACAGAGAAAAGAATGTAACTTGGCAGAACTCGGCGCAACTCATTCACCGGGTAAATCGACGTCGATCGTCGCGCCTGCGGAACGCTTGCGGTAAGCTGAGCGGGTCCTTCTCGAGACGCGGCGCGCTCGAGAAAAATGGCGGACTCGCGACTAACGAGACGCGAGATTAACACTCGACGGCATTAATATATCGATTCTCGTCGACGCATCTGCCGACAAGACACGGGGTTAGCGTCCGCCGACGACGAGTCGATTCGCGTATTCGCGCCTCGTGCGGCCGCGAGGATCGATTCGCGTGCAACAGGATTAGCAGTTCATGCCGCGGGATTACCGGCACTCCACGAGGCTCCCGTCGGCGGTAACTTGCGCGCGCGGCTCCGCCTCGCGAAAAAGCGAAAGCACATGGAGGAAGGAACGGAGACGGCAGAGAGATATTTCTTTCGCGCAGAGAAGTGATTCTTATTTTTCAGCGGGATCGTCCGCTCGAGCGCGGCGGTGTTTCAGTCAGGAAAAAGAATGGAAATCCCGTGACGCGCCGCGCCGCGTATGCACCTGGACTGCGCCTGATACTGACATTTTTTAAATTTTCGAGAGACAATCGTAGAACATCCCTCGCAGAATCCACGGCCAATATTTTTCGCGGGCTTCGTTGAGACGGTCGCTGTATCCCGCTGCGTCGGAGTTATCGACATGTCGATTTATTTCGATTTATTTATTTATACACGGAAGCGCGATTTAGCAGCCCCGCGATGTAGTAACATATATATGAGTGCTGCGCGTCTCGTTTAGAGAGACGTCACCAAATCGACGAGAAAACAAATATTAACTTTCTCGGAAAAACGGGCCAATGTTTCCTCGTGTTACTCTTTCGAATATTAACGAAACAAAATAATTCGAGAAATAATTCGAGAAATTCGAGAAATTCGGGAACCTTGAGAAGAGTTAGTCCTTGCAGGGAGAAATTGTGTGAAATATAATACATCGCGTTCTTCCTCGATTAGGCAAAATAAAAGAAACGGATATCGGGTGATAAAGGAGCCTCCCGCTTTTTGCATTCTATCTTCTCTAGAGTGCCACCGATAGCATAATAGTGACACAACAACAGACTTCATCGTGTTACAGCTTTTAGCCGGACGATCTATTAGCGAGAAGTGGAAATTTCGGCCAAGCTTCTTTGAGATATCGGATATCGAAACGTAGCTTACGCCCGTTACACGCGCGTTGGCCTCTTCTATTTGCCGTAAGTAAAGGATGTTACGAGGTGTTACGAGCTGCTGATTCTAAAAAGATAATACCGCCGATGGATGGCTCCTCTTTGATCTTTCCCGTGTCGGTCGAGACATGGCGTATAACTTATAATACGCTGAACCTACACGCGCTCAAAGAAGAACACGATATCGATGCTGAGGACTAATTGCGCAACGCAGCCGTTAGTCGGAGCGATTTAAGTGAGATTATTATTGCATCGCGCGAAGACCCCTGCAAAACGCAGCGCAATCGCGTTTTACAAGAGAGAGAGAGAGAGAGAGAGAGCTTTCGCGTCTCTTTTCCTTCCTTCCTTTTTAATTTCACTCCTTCGTTGCGTTTCAATTTCCGTGTTTTTCGGTAAGATCTCGGGGAAGGCTATAAATTCGAGGAGGAAAGGGAGGGCGGGAGAGAGAGAGGGAGAGAGAGGGAGAGAGAGAGAGAGAGAGAGAGAGAGAGAGAGAGAGAGAGAGAGAGAGAGAGAGAGAGAGAGAGAGAGAGAGAGATAGACTGAGAAGGAACCGTTGCCGCTGTCGAGGAAAAATAAGAAAGTATTTCTATGAATAAACATAAAAGAATACAGAGAAATAAAAGGAAAGCATTTGTGTATTCGCGTTTTCATTCTATTGTCGAGGAAGAGAAAGAGAGAGAATGCGATTGTACGTGAAATTATCGTACAGACACAAGAGCATAGGCACAAAGGGGAAATACCGGTATACACGAATATCTGTTTTGTTCGGGAAAATAAACGCCAACAGAGAAAACTTGGGCACCACACAGACTTTAAAATCAAATTGTTCGCCATGGATTATTCGTCTTTTGTTTTGAATCTGGATTTACGATCGGCTTCCAAATGCCTCGAGATTTATCATCGATGTTCTGAGACCGATGATAAATTCAGATTAAAAGCAAAATAGGAACAAAACATACATACATATTTTCTCTCTCTCTCTCTCTCTCTCTCTCTCTCTCTCTATCTCTCACTCTCTCCCACTCTCTCTCTTTCTCTCTCGCTCGATGTCGTGTGCGGTTCCCGCGAATTTAATCGTGGCCATTGAATCGCGCATGTAAAATAACTCCTGGCAATTAATCAATTCCCGGTTTCTAGAATTTCTTTCAGATAAATGTGACGCAAAAAACCTCTCAGACATTAATAATCCATCGTTTTACGCAAAATCCGAGAGAAAGCGCAAAGCCCTCGCGGAGCAAAAGGCAAAGTGAACTAATGAAAAGCGAATTGAAAATTGCAAGTAATTAATCTCTCGGTCTCACTCTCTCTCTCTCTCTCTCTCTCTGTCTCTTTCTCTCGTCACTTCGAATACGCTGATGCATATTAATCTAATAATCTCTATCAGAGATCACCATCGCCGATGCGAACGACCGCGACGTATTAATTAATCACTCGGATTACAAGCTACCGCGATACGAGACAACGAGGCAAGACGAACGTGCGCTATTTTTGAGGTCCAGCCGCGGCTAATGAGTTCACGAGCGAATGAGTTAGAGTTTCTCTCGGGCGAGACAATTGAACATTACGCTCGAAGCAGTCGCGACAATAGCATTACACCTCGCCGTCACTGACGGCTTAATGCGCTTATTTTACTCGTTACACCCGGAGAATCGTGTTAGAAGGGCGTCCGCCGGCACGGGCGTTCGCTCGTGGACGAACGCGCACGAGGTGGTGGTGCAAGCCTTACGTGAAGCGACGGTGCCGAGGAATGTGATCTTTCTTTCTATCTCCCCCTCGCTCCCCCCTATCTCTCTCTCCCATGGGCATTAACACCCTCCCGATCCATCGCATTCCGCAACAGGTTACACTCGCCACCCTCCAAGTAGCGGGTCTATTTAAAAGCGAGAGACGTCCACATGGGGATCATCGGTGCTTTCGCGTGCGGCCTCCTCCGAGCGCGATTTCACGGCCGAATTCACCACGTCCGCGTCGCCGAGAGCGCGGGCCAGACGCGTTTACCCTCGAACACCACCGCGAGAACACTGTCCGTCGACGGAGCGAAGCGCGGATCGCGAAGCGACTGACCGGCCGATCGACGCGATCGAGAGTCCGCTTTTGCAATGAGCGACATCGACGAACACGTAGTCATCCCCCCCGTCGGCGATGAGGCCGGATCGCGAGGCCACTGGGCTGTGTCCCGGTGGTTCCTCCTGAAAATCGCCAATTCCGTCCTTCTCTGTGACGTTTCGACGATAGGCCGGCCTACCCGGCGGCGCGTCTCATGTTTTTATATCTCGCGTCTCGCTCGTCCTCCCTTCGCCCTCGAATTCTCATTTCACGCCGTCGACGGACGCTACGTGACACCGGGGCTGTGAAGATTGCGGACTGACGCTCGGGGGACCGGAGAAAGAAAGAAAGAGAGAGAGAGAGAGGGGGAGAGGGCGGAAGAGAGTGCACGGCGCAGCAGGAGGGTTCGACGGGTAGTAGATGCGAGCGGAAACACACACCCGCTCGTACGACGCGCGGAACGCGACTGAAGCCGCGTCGGAGTCCACGAAGGAATCGCCGGCACGACGCGAAGCGAAGCGACGCGACGCGCCGCGCTGCGGCGCGGCGCAGCACTCGCACGCGTCTACGTTCGCACGCACGTGTCAAAGGATTCGCGAATTTGAAGGTCATTACACAATGCCAGGCAACAGGCAATAGGAACAGGGAATAGAAATAAGAAATAAGAAATTATCGGCGCCGATGCACAATGATGCTATGGCGATAAAAACCATCCAATCAGAACGTCCGAATCATGTCGGCTGCTTCGTAGTATTCATAGTTGGGTTGCGTTCCGATATTTACTGATAGCACTGAAAATCTGTAGTATATGTGACACAAGCTATGTATTTTCGGTAGTGGTAGTGAGTATTTTTTCAGTTCTTTTATATTTTGGATTCAGACCATAAATTAAATATTAAAATAGATAAAACTTTACAATAGGGCCTTTTCCGAATTTTGATATTTATTTGCTACTCTCATGGTAAAAATCTTTGTTGTGACTTCGACAGTGATAATCAATCGAGGGAGCCCGAAAAAAATGTTACCCACTTACCTTTTGGACAATTTTTTTTGGTAAATATTCAGATGTACTATTATACCAAAAACTACGTTTTCTTGTTCAGTAATTTACGAAAATAGCTGTAAAAAAACATGTATACAAAGTTTTATATATATATATATATATATATTAAGGGAGGAGGGAGGGGGACTAAGATCTTTATAGAAAAAAACACGAAAATTTTATTCCATATGTTTAAAATTTTAAATATCGATTTTATACTGATTAAATACCGTTCACAGTTGTTACTCGAATCTTTCGCCTTACTAAACAGTCTACGATATACTAAAACTGAATACTGATGAAAATGGATAAAAGATTAGCAAAACCCCTATGCAAGGTAGGATATATCATAAATTACAAGCAAAATAAAGCAGAGCATTATTCACAATCATGCTCTGCTTTAATCAAAAGCACACATTTATATTATAGAGTCTAAATTATAGCGGAGAATAGTTTATGCTTTATTAAAGTTTATTGAGTTTTTTATACTTTTACTCAATAGTTTAAATTTGGTGCATTTTTCCTTCAGAGTTTTGTAAGATCCGAAAAAACTTGAAAAAATTAGGTCGGTAACATTTTTTTCTCCCCCCATTGATTATTATTGTCGTAGTCACAACCAAGATTTTTATCCAGCAAGTAGCAAAAATATATCAAAATTCGGTAAAGGCCCTATTCTAAAGTTACCTTAAAATACCTTAAAATTTAAAAATACTTAAATTTAAAATATCTTACAATTTACCTTAAAATATTTTAAGATTTATATATACATGTTTATACTGTATATGGTTTTATTAATATAATAATATTTTCATTGACATCCTTTCTAGATCGTTAGCCGTGGATGACAAAAACATGTTGCTATTTCTCAGTACAAATGCAAATAGCTAGCCTAACATTGTATACCGCATGGAAAGCAGAAAAATCCGTCGTTCACACACTCTTCCTCTTCTCTGTCCTCCCAAGGCACCGAATTGCAATGATCAAACATTGTATGATATTAATTTTTAATTCTTCTTCTTTTATAAAATTTGACTTGCACATACATGTACAAAAACACGCACCATACGAGACTGGCCGACCCATCGACGCGATCGAATCCGCTTTCGCGACGAGCGACATCGACCGACGCGCGATTATCCACCCCGTCAACCTCGGCGATGAGGCCGGATCGCGGGGCCACTGTCCCGATGGTTCCTCCTGAAAATCCGCCAATTCCTCCCTTCTCTGTGATGTTTCGACGAGAGACCGGCCGCGTGTCTCATATTTTTATATCTCGCGTCTCGCTCGTCCCTTCGCCCTCGAATCATCTCATTTACGCCGCCGACGGACGCTACATGACACCGGAGCTGTAGAGATTACGGAATAATGCTCAGGTAACCGGTGAAAAGGGGAGGAAGAGAGCGGAAGAGAGTGCACAGCGCAGCAGAAGTATTCTACAGGTAGTGGATGCGAGTGAACATAGACACTCGTTTGTACGACGCTCGACTGAAAGCGCGTCCGATCCGCCTCGCGAAACAATCGCCCGGCACGATGCGAAGCGACATGACGCACAGTGGGGCCAGATGACATTCTTGGTTGAACATTCTCTAGAGGCCTGAATTTCCAACCGATCATCGACACCAATGGATGAGGTTGATCCTGAATAAATTCCGAAAAGATCGGTCTTGCCAAAATTAAAAAAAAAACATTTCTTTTCTCGAATTACTAGCTCGAAAGAAGGAAAAATTATCGTTAAACGCGAGAAACTTGTGAAATACTCATTATTCGACATTTATTTCTATCTAGTAGCGTATTCAGCGGATTGAAACTATGAAACCAATCAACAGACACCTCGAGATTTATCGATCTTGAACCAGAAATCCACTAACCCAAAACTCATATGCCCAAAATACAAAAACATCAAATATAGACCCGTTAAGCATGTTACGTCCTGGAGGAGGAACGCAACTTGACGCTTGCTTTCACAAGCTCCGACGTACTCGCAAGCCTGCAGTGCAGATCAAGGATCGGAACGACCCCTTTGTCTGGCGCGGACGTACATCGGTGGTCCTTTATTTAGGTCAAGGAACTGAATCCTTTTACCTGGGATAGGACCGTGAGCGACAGTTGAAGGAAGGGAGAATCTTTTGTTGAGAATAATTAGTTGGAAAACGTGATTGGCTTATAATTACAAATAATTTGTTTTATTGATGATTAAGCGGAAGTTCACAATGCAATAAAATTTGTAGGATTTTATAATGTGTACGTATATATATGTATAAACAATCGCGGTCTGAGCAAAATTCCGTGTTCATTATGTCCGACTGTGATCGGAAAGATTGGGCCACTGACACCGGATTTTACAATTAAGGAGGAATGCCAAGGGGGATAGGAAAAAGGAAGAAAAAGGAAAGGAAAAGAAAAGAGAGAGAAGAAAGGATGAAAAGTAAAAAGAAAGGGGTCACTCAGGTAAAAGGAAGTATAAATAACTTACTGCTGGTTCTATGATATTAGTCGACAATGAAAAGTGTAATTGCTGCGTGTCTGTGAGGATGGACCCAAGTTTTGCGCCAAGAATAGGAAGCTGGTTACGGCAGGATCGCTCGCAATGGCCCAAGAATGCACGAGATCGTTGCACAGAGTAATTAACGATTGAAGAAATACTGATCTGTCTAACCCACTAATAGGCTAGATGTTAGGAGATCCTGAAGGGGTGCTGGAGAGAAGCTTCTGTCCTAGCTGCGGGTCGGGTGAGTTGGCCTTTTGGCTTTTCTCGAAACGTTAGCTCAGTTGAGAGGATGGGGTTACAGAAATTGCGTCAGGGGTCTAAGGTCCATGTCCATCTGTTAGAACTTTGTTAACATTTTCGGAGATGGGGTTTTAGAGTTGCGTCAGGGGACTAAGGTTTATTGGAACTTTTGTTGATAACATTTCCAGAGGTGGGATTTTGGAGTTGTGTTGCAATATCTCTAAGATAATTGTCACCACGGGACGTCGTTGTGAAAGTTGTGAGTTCGTGAGGATTAACAAAATTAGATATCGACTGGTCAGTCTGGAAAATGACTCAGTGGGTTTTCCTGACAAACAACTAGAGGACTTTGGTCTAAGGGGAGATAAAAAAAAAGAGAGATCGGTATGTGGCGTCATCGTGCTCGAAGGGTCGCGGAACATGTTCGTTGAATATAACATTTGAACTATAGCGAGCAACATAAAATCAATTCGCTCTATTTATAAAAGAGTCTAGAAAACGTGGAGTCCGCAGGACGTAACAAGCACAAAACCGAAGGATTTTGAGTCTTAAGTAGAGCTGATGATACCCTCTCACTATTCGAAATTCACGGGAAATACTCGGGTACCCGGATACCCGGGTATTACCCGTTTTATCCATATTACTCGTATTATCCGTATTACTCGTATCATCTACGTATATTATTTGAATATCCATATTATCCGTATTACTCGAGTGTCTATGTAATTTATATATATATAATAATTTTTTTATTCACCTGTCATCGGTAGAAGTTGGTAAAGTTAATTTGTGTTTCAATTTTAAATGTTTATTAAGTGTTGATGTAGATCCTCCGTAATTTAGTGTGAGGCCACACACTTTACATTTCGCCTGCATTCTATCTTCTGACGGAACAGCACATTTTCATACCCAACTTTTTGGACGCGACATAATTAGTAGCAAACGCAGCAATTAAATGCAGGTTATATCTGATGACGATATTAAATTAACGTACATCATCGAGACCGTCGGAAGTTTGACATGAAGTAGGCAGATAATTTAAACAAACACGAGTAATAAAAGTACGGGTAATACGAGCGAGTACCCGGGTACCCGAATATTTTCAACATATTTCAGATAGTGAGCGGGTACTCGGGTACCCGGGTAATTCATTACCCGATCCAAATCATCAGCTCTAGTCTTAAGTTTATCCACCTAGGAATCTACCAATCCGAGAACTTTTTAAGCTGAGCTGGTGAGCTTTGAAGTTCTGAGTTTTCTAAAAGGTGATTATAAGTTCTGAGGTCTCGCATTTAGTATCCATAGGCTCGAACCCAAGACGCTGTACTTTAAACGATAAACTTTTAAGACAAACCCTAAACCCATGAAACCTGTGAACCGATAATTTTTTCAAAATTTCGGCTAGACAGATCTATTGGGAATTTATTCAGGATCGACCTCATTCATTGGTGTCGATGATCGGTTGGAAATTCAGGTCCCTAGAAAATTTTCAACCCAAAAATGTCATCTGGGCCGCACTCGCACGCGCCTACGTTCGCGTGCACGTGTCGAAAGACTCGCGAATTTTACCCTCGCCCTTCTCGCGCAGCGTAAAGCAGCTCGCGTTTGACGTACTACTGTGATCAAAGAATAAGGTGAATTTGTTAATAAAATGAAAAATCTTTATTTATTCTTCCAAATCAATTT